CGTAACGCCGCAGCAGGTAAGGCATGTACATGAGCACTGCCACCACCAGCAGCGAGTAGGGGAAGACCTGGGCAAAGGAGACAAGGGGGTGTCGAGCAGTGCGGAGTTGCTTCACCTCTGCTGTGCACCCAGGGGGGACCTGAGGGCACCCAGACGCGAGCTTGCCCCACACCTTGAGAGCCCAGAGGGACTTGGTGACGGCATGTCCCTCGGCGTCGAGGCCATGGTGGATGAGGGAGTCCCAGCAAGCCGTGTCGACGTAGGCGGACTGCTTCCCCGTGAAGTTGTTGGGGGAGAAGCAGCTGATCTGCGAGCCTAGGGTGAGGAAAAGGTTGAACCTCAGCCATGGAGGTCCAGCAAGCACAGGCGAGTGCTCCGCAGCCGGGTGCCAATGCGTTACAGGAGAGTGATTACATCTAAGGCATCACTTTGAATTAAAAAACCCTTTTTCACAGTCATTTTGTAGCTGTCTGTCCCCACTGCTGCATTTTCCAGGGAGGACTTTTCCATCGCTTCCTGAACACAAACCCTCAGAGCACGGCTGTGAGTACACAGTGAGGGGAACTGGAGACCAGCCAGAAACCGGAGTCAAACCAAATCCCCAGGGGCAGCAGCGGCACGTCGGCCGAGGCCAGATTTAGCCTGACGTTGCGATGCACCATCAATGCAACCCTCTATGCTGCCCTTGCAACCCGAGCCACCCTGCCGGCACCCTCCTCCTCGGAAACAACCCCACGGCACCCAAAGGTGCGGGGGACAGGCAGCTGAGGCGGGGTGTTAACTCACCACCAGTCCCAGGGTTTAGCACGGCTGTTCCCAGGCTTTCCAGTGACCATGAAAACCAATCGATAAATATCCCCAAGAAAGAACAGTTCCTAGAATGGGATTTCCAGGCTCGGACCACGATCCGAAGATCCCTGTTACAAAAGCCACGACTCACCAGCAGAGAACTCCCGGGCAAAAGCCAGCGAGACGAGGAAGAGGGGCAGCCCCACAGTGACAAACTTCAGCAGGCGATCGCTCGGCAGCCCCAACCGCA